TTTAAAACAGTTAATTACTTCATGTAAATCTTTATTTATTCTATGTGAAAAGTTTATAATAGTTTGAGTTCCACTTGTATATATGTACTGTATTTTATGAATTATTCCACGTCCTATTGTCATCTAACTATCGATCCAAGGAATATAACACGTATGTGCATGCGCATGTGTACAAACAAATGTTACTACATACAAATTATAAATATGGCAACAATAAAGTATTAAGTTATCCAGTATCCTGTATTGTGTTAAGTAGGATTTGAGGTTTACACGGCAGTGAGTGCAAAGATGGATGTCTTCTGGGTTGTAGCGCCGTGTAGTCTGGTATTAGTTCAGCAGTATTTCACAGGTCCTTGCTGCCCTGATGATGGAGGCAGCAAGGACTTTTGCAACACTAATGAACTAATAAAAGACTACATGGTTCTACAATAAAGAAGGCAGACATCTATGTATTGTGTTGATCATGTGACCCTACACGTGACAATGCATTAATTTATAGGTGGGTCTTCATGCCAACTTCTAGTTGAAAACATCCCAAATTTATGTTCACTTCAGAGTCAGGTTAAATTCTGATCTTCCAGACAAAAGTATTTTGTTATATGCTACATCTTAATGCCATTAATTTTAACTGAAGAGTAAGAACAGTGCATATTTAATTATTTTTAAACTTATTCAAAACTAGGAAGTCCTTTGTTATCACACATTTCTACTTTCCTATTTATACAAAACTAATGAATTCTGAAACATTTTCACAGATTGATTTTAAATAACATCTTTTATTTGCTTTAATTAAAACCTGTTCCAGGTAAATGTTTTTTTAAATATACATTTCGTAATAATTACGTTGTAGAATAAATACACAAGTTAAACTGAAGAATACTTTATCATACAGATAAGCACAACAACAAAAAATCAAGAGCACAGCCAAAACCTTTCTGCAACCTTGTTATCCTCACAATGACCACCTATTATTTCTTCTTTCAAATTTCTCTGCCCTGAAAATGGAAAACCAAACAAAAGAAAATGATGGATTGAACTCAGTATTCAAGACATAGACAGTATGCTGTTTAGGACAGGTTTAAAAAAAGAACACTTGAATATTTCTTATACACTATTCTGGGTTTCTATTATAACATCAAAATTGGCAACAAATAAAAACATCCAACACAAATTACATATTTCAGCAGATACTGTCACCACAGACGGTACACTTTCAAATCCCACAGTAAAATGTACATTTGTATAAAATATACTTTCACGGAGCATTCACACGGTGTGTGTTTAAGAGCATGAGAAATTATTTTCTCATTTTAGGTTGCATCTGAATGGATGGGGCCAGCTGTTCTGCAATGGGTATCATGACCAGATAAGAGATGACAGTGACACTAAATGTTTCTTAAAAATACAAATGCAAAAAGATTACTAGACCTTGAGCTTTATATGAACAGGCCAAAATATAAGCCATTTGTTAAGTATCAGTTGAAAGATTCATAAGCAGCTCCATTACTAACCTATCAAACATCTTCAACAAAACAAATAAATATTAAGAAAATACACAATGCATTGCACTGAACTGCTTTTATCTGATGCAAAACATTCTCATATATATATACATTTTAATTGCTTCTATAAGCTCTTAATATACATTCAGTAAAATTTGCGAAATAACTTAACTTATGTAATTTTTATAGTAATGTCATTTACAAGATTCCTTCTGACATACTAAGCAGTCTTTCCATCATCAGCTGCCCTCCAGTTTCATATTTCACTACATCTGCATTGTTTCACACCGCATATGGCTCATATTTATAAATGTCATATCATGTAAGCAGTAAATCAGTTTCCTGAAATCCAGTTCCATATACTTTTATTTCATACCATTTCAAGGACTGGACCTGTCCTCGTCTTCAGGTGTAGTAAAGGGGAAGCAAACCTACTATGCGGGGTGTTACAATGAGCTAATCTGAACGCCCCCTTTACTACGCCTGAAGACGAGGAAAGATCCAATCCTCGAAACATTGCGTATTTTATACGAGACAATGGACAAAGTCCAGAAACCCAATGCTGCAGATTGTATTATACCATCTTCAGAACACTTTGTCACCAAGAGGTTTTAAAGATTAAAAGCCTTTTGTGCCATGTGGCAGAACACTGTATTGTGCTTATAATAATTGAATGCTACTGTTTAATCAAGTCAAAAATGTCTTCAGGGGAGACCAAAGCCAATTATGATAAGCGTTAATTCTTTTCTTCACACTTTTAAAGTATTCACCGCACATCATCAGAAAAACAAATGGAATTTATATGGCAAATACACATGATGGAAACTAAATCACAAACAGCATTCAGTGTTGGTGCTACTGGCAATGAAGCGATCAATAAAAGCTTATCTGGCTGTATGTGGCATTAGTATCACGCCCCACTCTTTGCTGTTTGCCTCCGACACCTGGGATCATAAAACACGCGGAAAAGAAACAAAGTACGACGTGACAGAAATTTTGGAAAGGAGGCTTTTCCAGGCCAAACTTTTTTTTATCGCTTCGAAGTGTAGTACACGCCCTCACATCACAAACTGTATAAGCTTCTTCATAATTCAGTACTTCATTACTTCCATCAAGTCTTGAAAAATGGAGAGCAGCTTCTCTGCAAGATGGTCATTTCTTTATGCGAAAGAACTAAGACCAAATTCTGACAGACAAAATTCCTCGCTCTTCAAGTTAGAACCGGTTACTTGCATTACAATGTAAATAAAAAGGATGAAAACCCAATCAGCAAATTAATTTTAAGTATTTGAAATATGAACGTTAACTACACCTTTCATAAATTCTGACCTCTGTCCACTGCTTCTGGTAAAATTTGTAATTGACAGAAAAACAAAATTTTCATCAAGTTCATGAAATGTCACACAGGGCACACTTTATGTGTGGCCATATGCAAATTACACAAAGGTTTTCCAATTTAATGGACATCTGTAAAGTATGTACATGGCGATGCCAGTAAATAACTGAAGAATGAACCAAAGCTCATTGCACAACATAAACCTTATAGGCCAAAGGTCTTCAGAAGCTGACATTAGCTCAGCTAGTTAAGAAATTCTGAGACTTTTATGGAACCCAGAGGTTCACTACAGTGTAGGATTCGAGGTTTCCATGGCAGTGAGTGTGAATATGGCGTAACGGTAAACTTCTACCAGATTACACGGGCTACAACCCAGAAGAATGCCATTTCATTCACGACAGTGTTCATGTGCCTTTGATACTTATCTTACACTGTATTGTGCTTATAATAATTGAATGCTACTGTTTAATCAAGTCAAAAATGTCTTCAGGGGAGACCAAAGCCAATTATGATAAGCGTTAATTCTTTTCTTCACACTTTTAAAGTATTCACCGCACATCATCAGAAAAACAAATGGAATTTATATGGCAAATACACATGATGGAAACTAAATCACAAACAGCATTCAGTGTTGGTGCTACTGGCAATGAAGCGATCAATAAAAGCTTATCTGGCTGTATGTGGCATTAGTATCACGCCCCACTCTTTGCTGTTTGCCTCCGACACCTGGGATCATAAAACACGCGGAAAAGAAACAAAGTACGACGTGACAGAAATTTTGGAAAGGAGGCTTTTCCAGGCCAAACTTTTTTTTATCGCTTCGAAGTGTAGTACACGCCCTCACATCACAAACTGTATAAGCTTCTTCATAATTCAGTACTTCATTACTTCCATCAAGTCTTGAAAAATGGAGAGCAGCTTCTCTGCAAGATGGTCATTTCTTTATGCGAAAGAACTAAGACCAAATTCTGACAGACAAAATTCCTCGCTCTTCAAGTTAGAACCGGTTACTTGCATTACAATGTAAATAAAAAGGATGAAAACCCAATCAGCAAATTAATTTTAAGTATTTGAAATATGAACGTTAACTACACCTTTCATAAATTCTGACCTCTGTCCACTGCTTCTGGTAAAATTTGTAATTGACAGAAAAACAAAATTTTCATCAAGTTCATGAAATGTCACACAGGGCACACTTTATGTGTGGCCATATGCAAATTACACAAAGGTTTTCCAATTTAATGGACATCTGTAAAGTATGTACATGGCGATGCCAGTAAATAACTGAAGAATGAACCAAAGCTCATTGCACAACATAAACCTTATAGGCCAAAGGTCTTCAGAAGCTGACATTAGCTCAGCTAGTTAAGAAATTCTGAGACTTTTATGGAACCCAGAGGTTCACTACAGTGTAGGATTCGAGGTTTCCATGGCAGTGAGTGTGAATATGGCGTAACGGTAAACTTCTACCAGATTACACGGGCTACAACCCAGAAGAATGCCATTTCATTCACGACAGTGTTCATGTGCCTTTGATACTTATCTTCAGCCACATAAATCCACTGCACCCCCCCCACCCCAACCTTTACCGTTTGCCCTTAAGGTACCAAGCATTCCCCAAAATTAAACTACACTAAATTTCCTTGTGAATGCAATTTTTACTTCTTACTACTGTTCAATGTACTTAATTTATGCCGCATTTTTGAAAGTTTAGCTACTTTTATGAAACGATTTTCAATTACAGTCTGTACCTGGTTTTCTCTGCATTCAATTTTAAACCAGCTTCCTTACCACCATCTGACGGAGCTTCTGTGATCTCATAAAATGTGTTTTTGCACAATAAATTTACATCATCACCACAGACCACAAGGTAAGTGTCCCATTCAATTCTGATCCTTTCCGTTTTCTTGAACGTCCCTGCATTCCAAAGTAGAGTCGAAAAGGAATAATTCTAAAGCACCTCCTTCATTCAGACTATTCTGAACAGGAAACATGTCACAGAAATGTTTACTTTTATGGACTTACTGTAGATTTCAATTAACCCTCTGGTGCTGACCTCAGTTGGTGGTAATGACCGACTCTCTTGCCCTCCGTATGCTGCTGGCATCAGTAGCAGATACAAGACATTTGCACAATCTCTTGCTCGCATTCCACTGCTGTTACTCTCAACTTACCAGCCAACTTTGTAGAACGGCTTTACTCTAGCTGCCAGTAAAATTACGTGCCTGTTTCAAGCATTATTTGTTGACTTCCTTAGTATTTACGTAACTTCATGAAGTAAGAAAAGTTTACCAGCTTCTTCTCATTCTGAGTCTATTAAATGTAAACTTTCCTTGGAGCCAATGACACAGTATTGTAAACAAAACAACAAGCCTCGGATTGATAAGTGAACGGTGGGCTGGTCTTAACTGTAACCCCCAATTTTATGCACAACTTTTGAGTGACAGATTATTCAAGTCTTTTGTGCATCAAAATGCTTTGTGCTGCCAACTCACAGCTTCCTATTATTATAAAAACAGTGATTCTGCTGCCCAGAGAGCAATGGCGTACTGCAAAATTCTGTCATCAGCCAGCTTACAACAGTTTTACTAATGTTCTATACATAGAGGGTCCAAATCTTAAATGATCAGCATCATCAAAGTGTTATACAGGCATACATCGCTTTATTGCACTTCGCAGATATTGCGTTTTTTACAAATTGAAGGTTTGTGGCAGCCCTGCGTCGAGCAAGTCTATCGGCACCATTTTTCCAACAGCACGTGGTCTCTTTGTCTCTCTGTGTCACATTTTGGTAATTCTCACGATGTTCTTGCATGGTTCTTTTTAGACATAATGGTATTGCACACTTAATAGACTACAGTATAGTGCAAACATAACTTTTATACGTACTGGGAAACCAAAACATTTGTGTGACTCGCTTTATTGCGGTGGAACCGAACCCGCAATATCTCCGAGGTATGCCTGTATACATTTTAATTAGCCTAACTAGTTTCAATTTAATGAGAAAGTTATATAATATGTCTTCCCAGAATGAATCGTAGGATTTCTTGCAATCAGCGAACAATATCTGACAAATGCAGAATTAATGTTCAGTAGTTCGACTTATTATATTGAAATCCACGCTCAAAAACTTCAATCGATTTGTCTATGTACAGAAGAAAGGAGCCATTTATGGAACACCATTTGTATATTGTTAAAAGTAAGCAATTTTTCATTGGAACATTTAATTTAAAAGAAGGTGCATATTCGGCGCAGCAAAAGTCAAGAGCTAAAGTTTTCAAAGTCCAAAACCGGAAGTGATGTAAGCATACGGCTGGTGTAATAATTCCAATTATAATGAATTCTTCTTGGGCTATCAGCTGGTAGCCCAAGAAGAATTCATTACACCGAATCACCATAAAAGCTATAGATCACACAATAATTGCAATTGTTTGTAATACTTTGTATTTGACTATGTGTTTTTTTCCTACCACCCATTAATTACATTTATTTACGTAAACAAAAATTAAGCAGACACCAATATGCTTCATTTGAAGAAAAACATGAATTAATGTTCATCAAAGTTCTGAGACCTGCGACCAGATTCCACGGTGTAATAAACATTTAGACTCTGCAGTTTGCATATTATTTAACTATATGTTTTAAAATTCAACGTGAAACTCATACAAAGAGCAACACAGAATTGATCCCAGATTATGTATATTAAAATTTTTAAAGAGAATGCATAATTATTGTTTGTCTATAAAGCATACACAGTCCAATCATTTTTGCTGACGAGGAAAAAGTAGTCATCAGTATCATCATTCACATTATCACTGTATTATTTGTGCTGCACTGACATTCCGATTTAAAGGCTCTGTGTTTGAATGTGACTGTCCGCTGTCCTATGTGATGAGATACTGCTACTCAGAGACATGCCATTGGATGGTTGGCGTAATGTGGTTTTAGCATGATACGGCACTGGCCCAATACCATCTAAACAAACATTTCCTCAGCAGATTAATTTCATGTAGCAGCCCTATATTGTGTTGTGCAAGATCGCCACAACTGGAACATCTGACTTCTTCATCTGGGGATGCCAGAGGGTACTCGTTTACAGGGATCGCCCACCTGACAAGTAAGACTTGGTGGCGAAATTACACGCTCCCAAGACAGCGAAGTGTCACGTCTAATTTTAATCTCAGTTTGGGGAAATTTAAAGAAATGCCACATAGACACACAGTCTCTCAGCATTGCGCCCAACCACTTCTACCGTCAGATGGACTGTACCCATACTTCAGCAAAGTGTCAATGCTTTCAATACATGATTGCCACTTTCTGTTGTCCTTCTACCATCATCTGTATGTGACAAAGATCTGATGACAGATAAAACTCGGAACGCTGGTGACAAAGTTATTGCCAATACGCCTACATTTACAGAAGTGCAATAAAGAACAGATTGATCACCATAAGAGTCGTATAAATAAGGGCAATGGTAATAAATGCAAAAAGAAGAAAAAAGACTGAAATTAGCCATCACAGGAGATGTAGCTGCAGCACGTCTTACAAAATGACAGAATGTGATTATACTTCAGTAAGTCCAAATTCTATTTACAGGAAATTCATAATAAACCATATTTGAAGAGATAAATTTTCTATTATTAAACTAAAACTGTAGATGAGGCATTTGTGTTCCTGTCAGGTTAGGTTATCATGCAACACAGCAACGGCGACTTCAGTTAAACTTCGTAAAATCAAATGAACACAGAATTTCAAAGTACAATATGGCTCTCCAGGCAGCAGAATCTCGTATCTCACGACGGACAATCTTCAGTTACCAGCAGAAAACATTTTGGTACATACATGCAAGTCTTGTAAGTTCTTCCTCCACAGTGTTAAGTGAAATACTTCAAAGCGAATCAGAACTAGTCTCAACCAAGAACAGGCCACCGTTCAAATACCAAGCTGAAGTCCGTCTACAAGGATATGTTACTGCCTCAGAGAAAAGTTTAAAGACAGACTCAAAGCAGGAAGAGAAGCTGGTGAACTTTATTCACTCATAACCATTACCCACATACCAACAAAGCAAATAAATAATGCACATAAATACACCACGAGCCTAGTCTATGAAGCTACATCGTCACATACTGAATAACAGCAATGGCTTTGGGTTCACATTCTGCGTAAGTGTCAGTATCTCCTACTGACGTTGGCAACAACTGGTTAAGCAAGGAGAAATCGTGAAGCCACTAAATCTGAATCCAGTATTCTTAAATTTTTTGTAAACTATCCTGACTGGTCTAGGGGGGGTGGGGGGTGAGAAAGCTGCAAATTATGGACATACACAAATCCAGGGATCCTATGACAAATAAATTTATTACACTGATCACTGCTTTATGTATAGAAACAGCAAGTAACATCACTTACAGTAAATATTACTTGAAACATTTCTTGGATGCTACGGCAGGATTCCATTTTGCATTAGAAACAATCTGCTTTGATTCCTTTTTACACAAATTTCATTATAATACATCACAAACTCCGAAAGTACCATCGGAAAGTGCGGAACATTAGCCCCCACGTGATATAAAACATTTCCAGCTCAGTTCAGCCATATCTTATTTTCTGTTTGGGAAAAGTTTAAGGGAATGCCACAAAGACGCTGGTGTATCTCTTCGCTACAACAGGCCACACTCTGTGCCAATTCCTCTGAGCCAGACCACCGACAGACTTCTTCCAACTTCCCTCCACTAAATTATTTATTTATCGTTATCCTTCACCTTGTTCTTTCTGTAAGCGGCAGCGGACTCACACCTCTCCGTCCTCCCACTTTTGTGGCCGGGGCAACCCTCAAGACCACAGAATATTAACTCTGGCGAAGTTCTTCCACTGCAGCCATCCTCCTTGGTTGGTTCGCAATCTTCTTCGGCATTCATGAGTTTGCGTGCTAATTTGACGGCATAATATTCGTTGTAATGGGCCTTCCTTTTGCTCTCAAACACCTTTCTCTTTGCTGTCAATGAAATAATAAGAAAATTAATTCATAAAGCAAATCTGTATTTGAGATGATGTATGTCACAACGCCCTAAAAACTGCAGTATTATTTTATAAGTGTGGAAGATAATCTCTCTTTGCACAAACTCGCAGACAGTAACATAACTGTGGTAAAATCTGAGTTGCAGATAACTAAATAGTTCAATGGTACAACAGATAACACAAGAAATTAAAAAAAATTGTTAAGGAACCCCGAGCTACATTATTGCTACTGTATTACACCAAAAGTAACAAACACACAACAGAAGACGTTTCTCTCATTCAAGGCTACAGTTTTTCCTGTAAAAAATATTCAATCCACAGAACATACACCCAAAGAAATGAATGCTCATAACAGAATAGTTCTCGGCCTAATGTAAACGGTGGTCCAGTTTCCAGAGCTGCAATGAAAATGAATCTGATTAATAAGTACAGTAAGTGCCATTCAACGTATCACTTGTTGTTAGAATCAGCCGCTTTTTAAAACCAAATTTCAAATAACAGATTCAAATAATCAAAATGCTCTGTATTTTTCTCATTTATTGGAATGAGATTTTTGGTTATAAGAATCAGAAGTCATATTCAGTATGGGAGAAGCAACATCTTTTCAACAGCACCTACGCCTAACGTGGTTTAAGTAACAGTAAGTCGAAGTGATTCATCAGCCGGCTTCCTACTGCTATACTCCGGTCAGAGACATTGTGAATGGTGCTGGAAGTAAGCGGTCCATTTTATCTTCTTTACCACTAATCCTTGTTATCCTGTTTTATCTGGTAATTACCTATAAACTTATGCACCTCCTTTCCACAGAGCTTTGTAACCGCCTTGCCTTTCTAATCGTATTGCTCATAACAGAGACGGTTTTGTCGCACGAACCTTTCCCGTGGGCAAGCACATAGCTGCCATTCATGAGATACGACCGTTCAGAGGTCACTTGCCTCTGTTGGTGCCAGTTCTGATTAATGCTCGATCCTTTTACTGATTCACATTTTAACAATTTTCACAAGAACATCAATGAATAAGGAGAGAATTCATTTGAATGGAACAGAAAGGTCGTATCTTATATGATGAGTTAAAAAGCCTGCGTTGTTGATACCGGAAGCGTTAAAATCTCGTGACACACTGAAGATCATGGGACTGTGGAAACAGGAGAGGTAGCATGAAAGAAAGAGCTGGTTTTGTTCAAGCAGGCAAGCTCAATCAACAGCAGCATCCTTTCATAAGAAACAATTATTCTACTGAAAAATGAGAAGACGACTTCAGAGCAACTTATTTTTAAAAGTGTTTTGGACTCTGCAAGGAAATAGGTTAACGTTTATTGGCCGTGTCGCGGCTTACACGAGGTTCAGCTGCCATTCATCACAGCAGTATACTACTGAAAATGTTAAATAAAAATTTCAGTTTTATTTAAAGTTCTGCAGGCAGCTCCAAACTACAAGAGTTTAAATCTCGTAATCCTGCAAGACAGAATTTATTACAGAATTACAGTTCTGTTAAACTGTAACAATTAAAATAAAGCTTTCAGTGAAGATCTTAGAGAAAAGCATTCTGCTGTGTGATGTGATATATTATGATAATATTTCTGCCGCATGTCTGTTACGACCATTATCAGCTGGCAAACAATTATGATAAAAATAGATATCCGTCTTCTGGGTTGTTGCGCTGTGTAGTCTGGTCGATGTTAACCAACGTTTCAGAGGTCATACTGCCTCCGTCATCAGGGCGCCCTGATGACGGAGGCAGTATGACCTCTGAAACGTTGGTTAACATCGACCAGACTACACAGCGCAACAACCCAGAAGACAGAAATCTTCATACTCATCGCCCTGATGCCGGAGGCAGTATGACCTCTGAAACGTTGGTTAACATCGACCAGACTACACAGCGCAATAACCCAGAAGACGGATATCTTCATACTCACCGCTGTGAGAACCTCAAGTCTTACAATTATGATAAAAAGTTAAAAACTGAACTGAATGCTCATTAAAGTATTAAAATACCACAAACTAAATTGTTAGGACAATCGAATTGCACCTCGGAAAGTACAAGTACTGCATTTAAAAAATCCTGTTCAATGCAATTTACATAATTCTGGGGACATAAAAATATCTGGTGAAATTCTATGCTAACATATGACGACAAGTTCCTTATGCCATTTTTTGGTTGGTATCTTGAATTCCACATTCACTGAGCAAAAAATATCTGAATATGTTTTCAGCTTGTCAAAATGGATGTAAAGGCCTCAGTTGTGGGTTTGCAGCTCTATATAAAAAATAATACTCTTATAAACACATAAATGGTGGATACTGTGAAGGCAAGGTGTTTCCACCTTACAAGACGCTGCGGCTAAGTTCTTATAACTCTCCCCTCAATATGTGGTTTCAGATGTAAGGTAAGCAGAGAAGATATGTGTTGATGAAGTGGTACAACATTGGCAGAGGATGCAGGATTAGCTGATGATGATTCCTGATGGCAAATTTTGGTTTACAGTTCATCACTTTGAAATGGTATATACTTTAAAAGTAAAGATATGGGTGTATGAATAACATAAAGACTGAAATAAATAGTCTAAATGTTCAATTACAAAACATCTTCAGATAAACTCACATCTGCTAAATATTCTCATATACGTACTTCCTCTCGTTCCCGAACACAATTTTTCGACCTATCTTGCTGCAAAATTGTTTTATGTCACAAAGAACTCAGCATCATTCCTGTATTAACTTATGCCAATCAACAAGCCAGCTGCAACTTCTCTCTCTCGCCCTCATAATGTACAAATATCTTCAGACAAAATAACTTCGCTGTTTCACAGCCCTGAATTGCACTTCCAAAAATTTCCAATTAAAAATTCTCATAGTTAACCTCTTTATTTAATATCCTCTACCACTATTGTAACCAGTGAACATTTCAAGGACATCTCAATCTTAAACTAAAGTATTATCGCAGTTTAGGAGGTAGCCTGATTTTAAACACTGCGGTTCTCAATCTGTAACTGTTATCAAATTATCTTTCCTTTCTATTAAACTTACGATTCCAGTCTGAGCTGTGTTTTTGCTTCAATATTGTAATACCACGGCTTCTAGTAACAAAAAAGCCATGACCTCTACAAATGCAAGTTACCTTTTTCCTCTGGTGTTTCTTCTTCATCACTTGAATCAGTTTCACTTGCGTTGGTAGTTGAGAATCCTTTAGGGGGATCGTTACCACTCAGCTGGATTCTGTAAAAAACAACAACATAAAAAACAAATCATGCATGCAGAGAGGAAAGAAGTTTAGATCTTGCATGTCTTTAACACTGCACACTGCCTCCATCAACAGGTCTGTTAGAAACGTCACAACCCAAAGACCGACACTGGCATTCAACCTCGTACGTTACAACGCTTTAAATTTAATGATTTTTACATTTTGAAAATAAATTCCTGGAAAGAAAGACTGAAATGTAAGGAGTGTGTTTCGTTATTTAAAAACATTCAAAAGTGTCTGTATCTTTGAAGAGAGTGTGACCATTTACGAGAGCCTCATAAAAGTTTGTAGTTGATTGTCCTACATTTAAACCTTCCAAAAATGGCCTCATTTGAAGTGAAATTTTACAAACTTTGTGCATGAATCTGTTGGGAGAGTATTTTGTTGGATTCAGAATTACGCTGTACGGGATATAACAGTAGGCAGAAATGTCAGAGCCAGTGAAAATGCAAAGGCGTTACCAGATCCATTTACTGACGAAAGATGCTTTTTGTATTTAGGTTACTATTATTCTTCACTAAACTTTTACCATAACCTGCGTCAAAAGGAAACATACCGTGGAAACCGTCAGGAACAATAGGACAAACATGTCTAGGGTTCCAGTAACAAGGGGCACTGAAGAACATAAGAGGCAGAAACCTGATCAGCTGCAGATTACGTATCTTGACGACGCACAACAAATAAGAGGTGTATGGGTCATGACCACCTTGGATTTCAATGAAATTCTGTAATCCTGCAAGTTTCTCCTTCCTGTGCCATATAAGTTTGGAGTTACTCCATTTTGATAGACCTAAGTCAAGGACGTAAAACATGGCATAGCACAAATACAATACCTGTTTCTAACACAAGTATAAATTACATAGTCACATCCAATACAGCAAGTATGTGTACTTCTCATTAATGACTGAATTGTCCTAGAATAATCTGTAAAACTTGCTGTGATGGGAAGCTTCCTTGATCAAGGACAACTGCCCTCATGTGCTTTTAATATCTTAAATTCGTTAACTGCTATACTCTTAGGTGGGTGGCATGTTGCAAGACATAGTTTGCCATTAATGTGTTTAGTTAGAAATTTATTTAGAACTGGTTAGAGTGCCCACAAGAGGACACAACTATCATGAATTTTATGCAGTGCAGTGTTACATTTTCATAGATTGATTCTTATTATTCGCTGTGTGTCACAAAAACCTCCCAGAAACTTGTATTCTTTCAGCAAATGTTGAAAGATAATGTGCGTAATGATAAGCTCAATGTATTAGAGCACAATAAAGAATAAGCAGCTGTACAGTCCAGCGCTTCAGGCCATGAGGGTCAAAGTGCAAACAGTGACCACGTGACTGAAGGGTGGGGAAAAGTTGTAGTTCAGAAATGTGACATTAATCACTTCTTGTTATCAAAACTTTGATTTCTGCCTGCTCAACCTTCCTTCTTAGTAGCTCCTTTTGATATCTAAAATTTATACCCCATTCCCAATTATTAGTTCACATCCATCTGTCAAAGCTGTGATCACCCTTATTCTTTATTACAGTTTCACCACATGATTTAAAACAGCAACCTGTTTCTTGTTACAAGCTCAGGAATAAACATTTGAATTATCTGTAAGTACACTGAATAAATATAAACAGTAGTAGTAATGCTTACAACACCAGAAATAAGATATAATCTGAAATTTTCAGAGAAATATGGAAATTATCAAACACTGTGACATGGACTAAGAAATTACGGCACAGCATTATGTTTTACCCAAACCTCCATTACCAAATCTCTGAGAGGTTTTTAAGTTCCTGAAGCACAACACTTACTTGTTCTGCATATCACACACTAGAATCTGTAGGACATACACATATATACCGTTTAGTGTATTGGAATATAAATCATGCATACAAATAAAACTGTTTACACTTTGAAGGGCACTAATGCCAAACGCATTTTGACCTCAAGAGGTCATCACTGATGCCACTGATGATGACCTATGGAGGTCGAAACGCGTTTGGCATTAGTGTCCTTCAAACTGTACACAGTTTTGTTTGTATGTATGATTTATGTATACAGAAAAAATAAAAATGTGTTTTGCTCACTTTTCTGCTAAAAGGTTTGCATCCAAACCATCAGGTTCTTCCTCTCCCACTTCATAACTATATGGTGTTTTCGGTTCGTCAATCTTCATATGTCCGTAATCTTTATCAGGTGGATGTAAAGTTGCAATGATGTTCATTTCATCCCACTTGGTTTCCTTTTGTTTTCTAAAATGACATAGAAAATAGTTTCTTCACGAATGAAATACTAATATTAATGAACCCAAGCCTGCAACGAGAAAGATGACTTCATCTTGTCGTAACATCCAATACGAATGGTTTGGTCAACAATCCGCAGAACGATGGGTGGGCCGGGCTACGAAGTATTTATGCATTATACACATGTACAAGATTTGTAACGTAAACGTAATACCAAAAATAACTATACATAGCGCTACTGATTTCAAGATTTGAAATAACTTACCTTTTCAGGACTGCATCTGGCTTTTCAAAACTTGTAGATGATTTTAGTATGCTCTTGGACGGTCGTTTCGTCAAATTTTCGGCCATATTTTGCTTCTCACTATGATCATAGATTTGATTCACCATTTGTGAGATTACCGACGTCACTTCAATGCTTATTGGTTAGAAGCGTACGTGCTGCCATCTATTTCCACCGGGAAATTGTCAACGTTCGGATAATGGCAGGAAGGTTCAACCTGTTATCTCAGCACTCCCAGGCCCAACTTGGATAAAACAAACAATGTTGAAACTCTGCACCTCCAGAGGTTCTACTTCATTGTTAGAATAAACAGAAGTGCATGTGAATGGTCTTAACCTCCCTCACTCTGTCACATGAAGAAAGTCACATCAAGCAAATATTTCTTCCCATCAATCCAATTCCTCTCCTGAAATGCACTGAAACATTATCAACTATCCTGTATCTCTACATCTCGGATTTGGTTACGTGTCTAGAATCACATTTAAACAGAATATAGAATACATAGTCTACACATTACTGTTCAGCTTCTTGACTACATGTTTTTGTGAACCTTTGTCATCACTGGCCCAGAATCCCCAACATGATTATGAATTTACTCCAATTAGTACCTTTCTGTTCAGTTGCTATATCATCCATCACATGCCTTTAACCATCAATACGTAATTTTTTTCACAGGGTCTATTATTTGCAGTTATGTATATGCCATTGACAAACATACTGTCAATATTGGTTTGTGGCTGTCCAGGTGTTCTGCTGTATATGATTTCTGTGAATGAGGCAAGACCACTCATATCTATGAAAAATCTCTTGTACAAAGTATCAAATATTACGTTCAGCACCACGTCAGCATACATTATAATGACGTGCGAGCATTGCTGTCTACTTAAGAACATGTTAATTTATCTTCCAAAGTATTCCTACTGTCTGTAACACATCCTAAATTTGTCCGTAAGAAAGCTGAAATATGGAAAATATCCTCTTTAACTTCCCCACACATTTGAACAATCAAAGCCGTGAGTTGCATTATTACGGCTGTTACTGGAAACAGTTTATTCCTCAAGGTAATGCTAAAGAGAGAAGCCACAGGGATTAATGGGGTGGGCAGCTCCATGAATACAGAAATTGACTTGACTGGGATTTGATCCCCTAACCACATGAATAAGAGTCCGTCATGCTACCACAGAGCCAACTCACATCACATTATATTGGTACTGTTTTACAGCACTTAAGGACATTAAGAACACATATTATGTATAGTTCGGGGCACGATGCTGACCACTCACCCCCATCTGATGCCGAGGTCAAGAAAAAGCAGGAGCTATACCTCCGCTACCTCCAAGCGCCTACAAAGGCGTGTAGCGGGACGCTTTACTTTTTATTATGTACAGTTAGAAACTACAGGTATCAGATTACTGACATCATCTTTTAAAAATATGTTTCTCTTTAAAACTTACAGATTAAGAAATCTTCAATAAATATTGTGTACTGCACATTGCAATACAAAGTCAAGGCCTTCTGAACCTAAAATGTTCTCTCAAGAATCAGTTTCTGATATATGAGTGAATGACACAGAAGAAAGAAAACAAAGTTTAAAACATATATGTTCATGCATTTCAGTGAAAATTGTGGAAAGTATATAATCTACATTAGATTGTTATTCACTAATTTATATTGTTAATTAGAAGACAAGTAGGTAATAGTCAACAAGTAAATCTTATGTTGAAGAGACACGCTAATGCTACGCTTGTGTAAATGATACACATAGTGACATGTACATAGTATAGATTATGTATGGAACAGTATTCGTATAATTTAATCTACAAACATTCAGAATCTGAAGGAAGAAAAAGTGTAAACGCTGTGTATTCTGGTAGATATAACATATCTCTAGATGATTTCCATATGAATTAATATAAAAATCACAATTTTACAACATTTGAAGGCTTTATAAGCCTCAGAGTCTTTGGTCAGTTATAAGTTTTCAATCCAGGCCAGTCTGCCCCCCATCCCCCTTGTGAAAACCATGATCAGCAGTAACTTTAATATTCATACCACTTTAATTTAGATATAAATTTTCACATTCATCTGAAGTTCATAATAATTTTTTTCTGTCGTCATCATTCTTTGTAATGGCTGCATTCACAGGGCCATTCTATATTTTCTGTGATAGTTATGAATGGCTAAAATTTATTTTGTCTCTTTCAGCACGATACTGCAGAACTTACCTGACAACTCTGACAAAGAAATATCATTCAGGCAAGATGCTATTAACAGCCTGGGACAAGATATCAGTTGAGTTTATATCATCGAGACCTTCACTTGTGGCGTACACTTGTTGTGACGCCTCGTGAATGCAGTTGCAACACGTCATTTCACTCTGGCTATGGTGCGACACGGGCGTGAGTGGGGTGTGTGTAATGTTGTAATCCTCATTTGGCGACATGGATTCTGACTCCACTGCGTCTATGATACGTTCCTGTGTGAGGAGAGACTGAATCTTCACTTGCGTCTTCAACGCGCCAGCCAGAGAAAACTTCTTCAGTTGAGCCGCTACACTTCTGCCAAATGCATCAAACTCGTCGTCATTCTTGCTGGAATTAAAGGAATGATTAAAATGACTTACAGATGAAGTTGTCATCTGACTTCCATGCATTATCTTCTTCTTCTTACACTGCATGGTTTGCGGTGGAGGATTTGGAAGGTTTCGCTTAACTGACTTCCTGTCAGATTGAGCATCGGCAGATTCTGTGGGTGTTGAAAGTTGTGAGTGGGATGGGGAGAGACCCTGCAAGTTTCCCTCCAAAGTGTCTTCATTTTCTGTGATGCCTTCTTCCATCACACAGGTGACATCTGCTTCCTGAAACAAACAAGTTTGTTACTGTAGTAGTAGATTTTAAATTTACGAGGGGCATCCCAAAAGTAAGTTTCCCTGGGGCCGTTTACAGAAACAAAACACAATTTCATGGAAATATTTATTGCAACAGATACAGCAAGTGTCCAGCTATTTTTCAACATATTCGCCACCGGAAGTGAGACATTTGTCATACCGTGGGACCAACTTTTGAATACCTGTGTCGTAGAAGTCGCCCGCCTGGGATTGGAACCACTGTGTGACAACCATCTCCGCCTCTCTGTCATTCTCAAAACGCTGACACTGACCGGACAGGAATTTCTTGAGGTGTAGGAAAAGATGGAAATCACTGGGAGCGAGATCCGGGCTGTAGGGTGAATGATTAAACACCTCCCAGCGGAACTCCTGCAGGAGACTTGCTGTCCGTCGAACCGTGTGCGGCCTAGCGTTATCACTGACCGCACTTCACAGTCGGCGGGAGCTGGAATAAGAACCTCCATCTTCAACAGCCGCAACGATGCTACTGTGAGAACGCGGGAAGTACCGTTAGTGCATGCGCCATGCTACGTCATTGCTCTATCACGTACGCACAGCCGCTTCGCGCAATATAAGGTTTGCTAGCTGTGAGACGAGTGGGAAACTTATTTTGTGGACGCGCCTCGTATTCCACAAAGTGCACTGTCTTTATTTGACTAAAAGAACATTTTCTATGATCTGGTTTGCTTTAATATCGAGATATTAAATGTATGTATATAGTAGTGGCCCATGTAAATTCATAGAACTACGCACAACTCAATTCTCATGTTTTTCTTCTATTCTGTTCCCAGGTATTCAAAAGTTGGTCCCACGGTATGACCAATGTCTCAATTCTGGTGGCGAATATGTTGAAAAATAGCTGGACACTTGCTGTATCTGTTGCAATAAATATTTCCATGAAATTGTGTTTTGTTTCTGTAAACGGCCCCAGGGAAACTTACTTTTGGGATGCGCCTCGTATAAATAAGAAATAATGAAACATGTGTAAAACAGTAACCAGGATTTGACTTATGAAAATGGCACTAGTAACATCAGAGTCTGGATTCTGTACAAAGTTGCACGGGTGCCTGAATGGATTAAGATTCCCCAACCCAGTCACTTGCAGAAATAATGTAATGAACGGCACTTCATGTATCAGTCCAGAATTTTCTGAAGAATCTTTCGGGTACTTAAATGCCCACTTAAATGGAGCCGTGCCTTGTATGGGAAATTCACCAGCACACAGTGCCTCACGAAACCAGCTACAGAACTGCATTCTTACTACAGTCTGCCTCGCTGAGGTTTTGTTCCACTGTAGTTTGTATGCTTTCAAATAAAGTTCTGTGGTCCCATACACACGCATCTTTCACATGCCACTTTGTGAAGATAACCATCTTAAACATTTTAACACGGCTGCTTCTAAATAAGCTCCATTGTTATCCAGTGTTTCTCCTCTTCCAAACCCGACCGCAGCGCGCACATTGCAGAGGGTCGTAATGTCCCTTAGGATGGCTAACAGGGTTCTGATCTACCGAGGCCGTGGCGTGAGGCATCATGCTGAGGGCCGTATGGCACTAAGGTGGTGACGACAGTGCTGCTAACAATTCCTTCGGGGCAACAGGCAGCACACCGTTATACTTATGCTTCCACATATGTGGGGTTCTGTGACTTTTAAATGTGCTACTCACAGGACCAAGACGGACACTAGTAGTAAGAAAGAAAACATGACGTCAAAGGCAGCTAGTAGGGACTCCTGAACAGCAACAACACACCTACCTACAAAAACAGAAGCTGTTCCTCAAAAGGAAACTATGTCCTTGGATTTTTAATGTTACACTCAAGGCCAAAATGTTAATGTGCCCTAAAATATTACGTGTGGAAAACCAAATGAAATAATAGCTTTTGACTGGGACACAAATTCGTTCTGTATCTTCAATGAGACTGGAGTTATAAGCATCTTACTGAACCAAAAAACAGGAAAAATTGAAGAAAAACTTATATCAAAATGGAGTAACTCCAAACTTATATGGCACAGGAAGGAGAAACTTGCAGGATTACAGAATTTCATTGAAATCCAAGGTGGTCATGACCCATACACCTCTTATTTGTTGTGCGTCGTCAAGATACGTAATCTGCAGCTGATCAGGTTTCTGCCTCTTATGTTCTTCAGTGCCCCTTGTTACTGGAACCCTAGACATGTTTGTCCTATTGTTCCGAACAGTTTCCACGGTATGTTTCCTTTTGACGCAGGTTATGGTAAAAGTTTAGTGAAGAATAATAGTAACCTAAATACAAAAAGCATCTTTCGTCAGTAAATGGATCTGGTAACGCCTTTGCATTTTCACTGGCTCTGACATTTCTGCCTACTGTTATATCCCGTACAGCGTAATTCTGAATCCAACAAAATACTCTCCCAACAGATTCATGCACAAAGTTTGTAAAATTTCACTTCAAATGAGGCCATTTTTGGAAGGTTTAAATGTAGGACAATCAACTACAAACTTTTATGAGGCTCTCGTAAATGGTCACACTCTCTTCAAAGATACAGACACTTTTGAATGTTTTTAAATAACGAAATACACTCCTTACATTTCAGTCTTTCTTTCCAGGAATTTGTTTTCAAAATGTAAAAATCATTAAATGAGGATAAATCAACAAAAGAGCATTGTTTTCCAATAGACTGGAGCCTCAATTATACCCTTCTTAAACCAGTTAATTTGCAGATTTGGTTTCATTTGGGTAAGAATTATATAACTAACCAACTAGACGGCTTACCGAACCCGAAGGTTCATCACCGAATTAACCAAAGCCCTTCACTGGACCCTGTCCTGTGCCAACAAAATCCAGTCTCCTTCAACTCCTATCTCCCATAGATCCCACCTGAGATTATCCTCCTATCTACATCTAGGTCTCCCCAACAGAACGAGGTTAAGAAGAATAACTTTGAAATACACATCCATTCCTCCGAACTTCTTCACTACACAGTGCTTAATTAGGCGCGGGTAAGGGGCTGGCAGACCCACAGCTTTTTAAAATACTTCGCATAATGCATGAAAATTATAATCTGGCAATAAAAACTCAACAGTAAATCTGTAAAATAATTCAAATTGCATCATTCCGATTTTATAATATAAAATACTACACTTGTCAATGTGCAAGAAATATTTGATTACAAAGTCCGAAGAGAACAGACCACTTGGGAAACAGGAATATACAGGGTAAACACAAAAGAATGGTGCAACTGTGACTGGCGACTCATTTTTGGACATGTTGTAAAGCTGGTTGTTACCCCAACTATGACGATTACATTCTACAACTGGACATTTTCACAGGAATGTACGAGTGCTTCTCAATCGTGTTTTTCCACAGTGCTGGATGGGATGAGTTCGATTACCGTGTGGATGTGTGTCGTGTGACCCAGGGTGCACACATTGAAGGATTGTAATGAACGCATGAGAAACTTGGACAGTTGCCGCTGCTGACGGTGTATGTTGTGCCTGTGTAAGGTGAGAAATAAATTTTTTATTAACTTTTGAAACCGCGCCATTCTTTTGTGCATACCCTGTACATGAGGATATTTTTAAAATGCATCTTAAATGAAGAGGGTGTAAGAGTGTGGACTGTTTCATCTGACTCAGGATAGGGTCTAGTGGCAAACTCTTGTGAAAAACCCTTGGTTTCATTAAAAGGCACAAAATTTATAAACTAGCAAAGCAACTATTAGCTTCTTAAGAAGTTAATACTCTGCTCCATGGATGTAGCTGTTACTTGTATGTTCTGACTCACTGTCGGTGCTTGTGCGTCCCTACTAGCGATGACAGGACCGAGGAAGGCATCGATCTCCTTGTACCAAATTAGTGAAGGCTGATATACTTCATCAGAACCAGACTTCTTAGAGTGCTTCACCTTCTTCAACTCCTGACTGTACGTTGACCTCAGGTTCTTGATCTTGTTCTTAGCCTCCTGAACAGTGAAGCCAGGTAAGCTGGCGCGATCCGCAAGCTTCATGTACGCAGCATCACGCACGGCCTTGTTCCTGCAATGACACACGACCCCAGAACAAGGCATTGGCCCAAACCACGACAGGAAGAAGAAGAAGATTAACACGCAGCAAGCAACATGAGGATGTAGGAAATCGCATAATGAGAAACTTCACAGTTTGCATTCTTCATAAAACACTACTTTGATAAAATGATGGAACTTCAGAAGAGACGACTTGGAAAACACAGGTGTAGATAAGACGAGAATATTCAAAGCCGTCTCAAAAAATAGGTTGTAAGTGGATTCATCTGGTTCAGAATAGGGCCCAGTTGTGGGTGCTAGTGAACATGGCAATGAACCTTTGGGCTCCACAAAATGAGGGCAACTTCTAGACCTGTTGGGTGGCTATTAACTTCACAATAAGGACTCTGATCCAAGGAGTTAGTTTCTATTACGGCTCAGTCATTTCAAATGAAAAGTAATTCAACTACGTAATTTCAAGTAATTGTTTAAGCAATGATCAAGATATGACTAACACACCAAAAAATATTTTCAGTCTACAGAATATATGAACTGTTCTAGAAGTTTCACGTCTTTTTTTACCTGTACGACGGAGACTTGACATCCCAGAGACATTCAAGCTGTCTGTATTCTTTAATGAATTTGAGAGTAGTCTCCTCGGACCACTTTCCCGACATTTTCCGCTCCGTGCGCGTGCTGTAGAAAAGTACCATGAATTAATAAGACATACGTAGAACACTATTACATGTCTACTTTCTGTTGGAAACAAATGACATTCATTCTTGTTGTGGAATAACACACAATCATACCAACTAGATAAAAGCATTTTCTCCATTGAACCATCTGACACAGCTGGTAGCCCAAGAAGAATGAATGAATTAATTATAGCTTATATCTTAATTGCATCATGCTTGTGTTCCTCAATACAGTACTTTTATTTTCCGTCGTTACACAAGCTTATTGTTAAAATCATATAAAATTTTCACATAAAATTGTTACATTTTAAAATTGACGACATGTTTCGATATACAATTCTATCATCGTCAGGTCTATCAAAATTAAAATTAAAATCTGGTGTATCTGTTGCTCTGCTTATATTGCTTATGTTTTATCCGTTTTTATTACATCTCCAGGCTTCTTTCATTTAATTTTGGAGACGCGCCTGGGTGCCTATATCGGGTTGTGTGTGAGGTGCGTGTCCGTTGTTATTGCTGTCTGCCATTCAATAACAACGGACACGCACCTCACACACAACCCGGTATGTTATAATACTTTATATTTTGTGATTGTATTTCTTTTGCTTGTATTACGATATATTTGAGTAATTCCTTAAAATAATATAAAATTAGAGTAATATTATTCCATTTCCTATGTCGGTAGCCAGAATCACGATATGAAAATTAAAATTGATTTTGCAGATATAGGCACCCAGACGCGTCTCCAAAATTAAATGAAAGAAGCCTGGAGATGTAATAAAAACGGATAAAAACAAAAGCAATATAAGCAGAGCAACAGATACACCAGATTTTAATTTTAATTTTGATAGACCTGACGATGATAGAATTGTATATCGAAACATGTCGTCAATTTTAAAAATGTAACAATTTTATGTGATTTTAACAATAAGCTTGTGAAACGACGGAAAATAAAAGTATTGTAATGAAAATGGATGTACATATACTTAAAGTGACAGATGTCATTTAAACACTATTTTTAATAATTTTTACAATAAGATGAGATTATATCAATTACATAGCAGAGATAAAAATGTTTATAAGCCATCTAGAAATGTATCACCAATTTCTTCACTTATTTTTTAAATTTTATTAATGTATATATAATATTTTTTCTGTTAATACTGACTGGTTTGCACTGTTGACAGGGATGCAAGAGAATTTCTTGAAGTTATGGCTGTTGCTAACAACACTGCTGAAGATCATGAGATGTCGTTACTATTCTTTTTGTGGTATTTACATCAGGCACAAGGTGTGAATCATATTTGGCAGATTAAGGGTGGTGCACAGGAATGTAAAATTATTGGTGGATCTCAGCAACTTAGCATCAAGATGGCAAAAAATCTTGGAGGTATACAGTTAATTTTCATTCCTTTAGTGAGTA